TTACTTTTATACATGTAAATTAGTGATATTTAATTAAAACATAATAATAAATGAGTATAAAGGAATAATTAACCAAAGACTTTTTCGTGAGTAACCAAAATTAATGTTATAATATTACTATTGTCATTAAACGACAATTTAAAAATAATAAGAATATTTAAAATTTAAAAAAATGCTAAAACTTCTAGCAATGTTTGGACACCATCCTGATACATATATACACACACACATATATAACTTATTAATACGTAATTAATGGGAATTCTATTCTGTATACAGTAGAAACTCGAATTAATGTTTTTCGAGGAACCAGTGAAAAATATATACGTTAAATCAAGGAATACTAAAATCCAAACGTGCCAGAACATACAAATACAGTAAATGTGTATGGGCATTCCGAATAAAAATTGGAAAACATATATTATTACTATAAACGCTTTCATGAAAGCCTTTACTTCATACAATGTAATGAGGATATGATGGGTATTCATCACTGCAGTTTCTAAGTTTGTAACTTAAAAAAACACATCTTCGTCAATATTATCACCGCTGTTGTGCGTTAAGTACTGTCTTTCCTTTTGCGTTTTATACTTGTACCCGTAATGTTTGTAGCTGCACAGGAATATCTTATGTGACCGCAAAATTTATAGTGAACTTCAAAAACTAATCGTATTACTCTACTTGCTAAACAAATCCATGCGTTAAATAGCAAAAATACATTACGAAAAATCAAAAGAGAATAAATGTGGTAACGTTAATATTGTTTATAAAGATTTGAAGGGACTGGTGAAAAAAACACAAAAATTATATGAGAAGAACGTTAAATAAAGATGATATGTCAAATATGTTCAGCGCAGAATTAACGTGCATCGTGAACTGGATTTGTTCAGGTGGTCTTAGTTTAGGCAGCACTGCACTAAAATGCTACGTGTATATGTGTGTAATTTTTCTTCCTCTAAGATTGTTTTTAACCGTCGGCTTTGATAAATACAAATTATTTTAGTAGTTTAATTATTAAATCTATTAACTACTATGTCTAAAGTCACCGGATCCTCAAGAATATCCATAAACAAAATTCTTGATTTTTAACTTTTGCTAACAAGAATAACACATTCCGGGATCTCCAGGATTGAAGATATTAGAATCATACAGTCTTGGGGTTGCGATCCGTAGTTGTTAAATGTATATGTTACTGTGAAAGACCGAAATTAGAGAATGTCGACACATACAATATGCGTCTGTAAAAGACCGAATATTTGGTTATATTATTATACATTCGAAGAATCGCCGGTGTGTGTCGACAAGCACAGATAAGCTTTGGTGGAGGTCGAAACGACACCCAAAAAAGCCCATGTCGACAGGGAGGCGACAGTATATCGCCAAATTCTACGCCGTTTCCTTCTGCTGAAATTGGTGATATCGTACGAATACAAGTCCCTGATGTCGACCGTGGCCGTACAGATGTCCGAAATGTGTTGGCGGTTGTTGTTGGAATAGAAGACTCCGACTTTTATAAATTAGCAAACAAAAATGGTACCCTCAAGCAGCTTTATACCCGTAATCAGTTCGTAATTTGTAAAGAAAAGTTACTTTCCACAAATGAGATTTCTTCTCAAAAAATATCGCTGAGAGAAGTAGCTGCAGCTAGTTCGAAAAGTGGAGGGCAAGGCTATACACGCTGTCGTTGCAAAAAGAAGTGTTCCACGAATAAATGCAGTTGTAAAAGCAAGGGACTCTTGTGAAATTCAAAGTGCCATAACAGTTTAAGTTGTTGTAATAAATAAGATTAACGAATAACGTTAATCGCATAATTTATGTGTAAATTTATTATTGTATTATTTTTTAAATAAATTTTAGAATGTACTGTTTGGTTTAGGTTTAACAGTTTATTTACATATGCTGTTACTTAAGCTTTCTCCTATTTTGACATATTAAAAAGTTGCATTTTTGTCTTAACGTAATAAAAATATTTTTATTCAACATTCACCATCAGTGCATGCTGAATGTCGACATTTGCCGGTGTAAGTGAGAAATAATGATATTTAGTAAATATTTCGTACATACACAAAACGACTGTGTGAATGCTGACATTCACCGGAGAATGTTAACATTCGCCAGATATCGGTCATTCACAGTAACATATATAAATATTATTTAAATATTCTAAACATAAAATTTACTTATATGCAATGCAATAATAAAATATTATGTGTTTATTATAAATAAGTAACTTAATTCACCTTTTGTTCTTCGCCATTTAACAGTTGGTACTGGATAGCCATCAGCTTCGCAATGAAGAACTAATTTGTTTCCAGCTTTAATGGACACATCGTAAGGCTGACGAATCCATGTAGGAGGTACTGAAATTATAACTCGCAATTGAAATGATTAATGAACTTTTTCATGAACAGTTAATAATTTTCATTATCTTACCTGAAACTAATAATTTCGTCGTTAGACTATCGGATCCTGCTTTGTTTGTTACTAGACATGTATAATTTCCGCTATCTGCACTTTTAACCGAGGCTATGATAAGCGAAGAAGAAAAATCTCCTTGGCGGTGAATTACCCAATGAGAGGATTCTGTCAACGGTTTACCATTCTTTGACCATTGAAAAGTTAATGGTGGATCGCCTTCATTAATGCCGCACATTGCTATATATGTTTGGCCTTCTTTTAAATTGTTTTCACTAATTTGTGGCACAATCTTTGGCGGAACTGTAATAATATATGTATGTATTTTTAATGTTAAGTCGAAGTACGGGTATATTGTGAAATTATAAATAAATAAAAAACATAGTAAAATAATTATCTTAAAAAGCCTAATAATAATTAAAACTGTTTCGAAAAATATGCACAAACTAAAATAAAAATCCTTTGCAAATATGGCTTTAAATTAGTGATTTATAAAAATTTTATCCCTTATGAATCAGTTTTGAAATTTGTCTTATCATTATATTTCTTCTAGTTATATGAAATTATTTTAATTCGTGAATTGTTCACTTAATTAATCTAATATCAATTTTAAAAAAATATGCTACATCGATTTTCCAGTTTATCAACTGTAGTAGTACTATGTCAATTTATTTCCCAGAACAGCATTTATTAAATTCAAATTAAAATAAACTATATAAAAATTTATTTCTTCTTTTTTTTTCTCTTAAAATTTCAGAATATTGATATTCCGAATTCTCTACTTTAAACATTTACTGTTTTACTATTTCTCGATATTTATTATATCTAATATTGATATGCAATTATCGTAACAATTTCAACGTTGAAACAATAAGAAGTAAGCAATTGAAATGGCATGAAATCAAAATACGAGTATTATTCTAGCAACAAAATGTACTTTCGAATATAGATAGAGTCGTGCCGGTTATCTATCTAACACCTTTCAAAGGCAAATTTTTGAATTGAAATAATGTGACTTCCGGTTTGCATGGGAAGTTCGTATATAGTTAATCGAGGCCTCATGCAGCTAAGGTTTCCATATCTGGTCTTGAATTTCATTTATCTAACATCGTTCTCGAAAGACAGACGGACGACAGTGGAAATTTATATGTCTACAATTTGTTCAAATTGCAGATGAAGCTCGAGCAAAATATTTAAGACAGAACATATTATACTTGAATACGATTGAAATATACAGTAATATACAAATGAAAACTGGAATGCATATATTTCAAATTAATTTGAAATAAAAATATTCCAAAACAATTTAAGACTGGTCGTAATATACGCTGAAAATAAGGAGAGAACTAAAAATCTTTGATCTTTAAATGTCCCAAATTTGGCTTTTATTTTATATCTAGCCACGGCTGAAACTATCGATTCAATTACAAGCGTCGATCTTTATGTGGAATATTTTTGTTAAAATAGTAAATAATAAAAACAATTTCAACAATATTTAAGTATAATAGGCTCTGTTCAATTTTGAGATGTATTTTATTATAAATCTTTTAAATCATAAGATACGTTACGTGTTCCTTGGGCACGCGTGCCATAGGTTCGCCACCTCTGGTATAGACGATTTTACGCATATGATCTTGTCATAGAAATTACTTATTAAAAATATTAGTAGCATACGATTCTCCTCTATTCCTCATAGGTATAGAATTAAATTACTTTTATAAATATATAAATTTAAACAGGTTTAAAAAGACTAGTATTTTTTATGTTTGTTTAATTACAATATAGATATTTAAAAGTAACTAAACAAATAGCGAAAGAAACTCAAACTCAGATTAAAGTAAAAATTAAAAAAAGTTTTATCAGCCGTATATCAAATAATATATATATATAATAACTATAAAATAATATACATAATAACATCAGATAATAATATAATTCTTTGAAGTTAACAATATATAATAAAATAATACTAATACCTTTAGTTGAATAACAAAAAGAATAATAATGATAGTAACAACTTTATTAAGAATAAGACTTCAATATGATTGACAAATATTAACATAAAATAAAACGTAAAATGAAACTTTATAATATAAATAAGAAAATGAAATAAAGATCTATAATATATTATTAAAGTTTAATTCATAAGTTTGAAATTGTAAATGCTATTTAGATATAATGACAAATTTAATATTTGAAAACAATAATATAAAATAATCTCTATTATATCAAATATTCAGTAAATAATCATTGCTGCATTAACATGCATAAATGCATTCATTAAATATTAAATTTATGACCCATATGAAAGTTGTTAAGTTTTATGTAATATATTGATATTTAACATTTTGCATATACACAAATTGTTTTATTTAAAAGTAATACAGTATAATTATTAGAAATAAAACATATTTCAAAATACCATTTTAATTGCGAAAACAAAAGCAACAACCTTCTTATTTATATGAAAATACAACATTTAGTAACTTTAGTTTTTCATTTTATAATCAATGATCATCTCCGACCTTTAGCAGGAAGCCAAGATGGCGACCGATAGTAGAATAAAGAACAAACTTATTACTTACCTTCCATGATAATGGGATAAATAAGATGACAAATCCAGAAATACAAACACCAAACTAGTAAATTGCGATTCAGATGTATTTCCATAGCAAATTATAAGCAGATATCAGTGCAATAGTTTTGAAATCACAATGAGTAGATGCAGTCCTTGCATAGCTCGGCTCTGTTGCAGTGAAGCCACACTTCCATTCTCGTTAAAACCTACATGGCCCGGTAAAAAATGTCTACGTGAGAAGATATCCAGTAAATATTAGTCCTATTTAATTATTAAGTTTCTAAAGTCTCGCCTTGACAAATATAAAGAACTACGTTAACTTTTTATATGAATCTAGATTTTTAGGTGGATGAACCCATTCCAAACAATACTAAACAATGTTGAGTAGAGCGACACATAGTGGTAAAATATGGCATTTTAGTTATAAAATATTAGCAATTGATTAATTAAAAAATTCAGTTTATAAATCCATTTAACAAGATTTTATAATTATTATAACATTAAAATTTATTGTATTTCATTAAAATTAAACGTGCGTACAATGATTATTAATAAATTAACATTAATACTTAATATTGGGAATTTTACTCTAAATATTTTTCGTAATAAATAAAATACAAATATAAACTTTTACTTACTCTGATAAAATCATAGTTNTTTAATATTTATTATTAAATTCTGTTTACCAACATAGGATGTTGTTAACAGTATCGGTTCCGAAGGTGGACCTAATCCAGCCCTGTTGTAAGCGATAACAATAACAGTGTAAGTCGATGTCTTCTGCAGATCGTTCAATACAGTTTTTTGAATTTCTGCTTTGTGATTAATTTTTACGTTTTTATATGAATAAGATATTTGTGATCCTTGACTGGTTTTCTTATATCCAATGTAAAATCCCAATAATGCACCGTTCCACTGATGCTTTGGTGGAGGCTAAATGTATTTATGTATTTATAGTTTTTAGTAAAAATGGAAATATAAAACTGCAAAAATTATATCATATATCTAAATAATTACCTTCCAAGTTAAAACAGCTGAAGCTGTTGATTTCTCACTTACTTGAAGATCAAAAGCAGGAGTTGCAGGCTCTAAAAAATAGCAAAAGTGAACATCTATTTTAATGCAATTCAAATAGATAACTCGTATTTTTTCATATTATTTCTTCATAAAAAATACCGCATTATTTATTTCATATTTACATATAATATTTTCATGAAATTGCATTAGACAACTGAAATGAGATCTACAAGAGATGTTTGTCGTCTATTGGTTTGACTCCAATTTTGTTGAAACTCCAAATGTTACCAATTAAACCAGAATTTTTAAATATAAATATTTTGACAAGATAATGTTAAAATCCGTTTGATACCTTCTTCAGTAGTAATGGCAATAACCGTTTTCGAGGGTTTGCTACTTCCAACTTCGTTTACTGCAATAACTTGAAAATCATATCTTGTGTAAGGTTTCAAACGAATTATAATGACCGACATTTGAGATCCATCAACTTTTAGTTCCAGCGGCGTGTTTTTATCTTCTAAAAATAATCTTTATAAATATGTAATGCTATTTAATGTTTAATATAAATAAATTTATTAACTACCTTTTTTATAAATACAAATGTATTTTTGAATTACAGTATTTCCATTATAAGGCTGCAACCAACTCAGCCGAACACTTCTACTCCATATTGTTTTTACTTTTAATTCTTCAGGCTGGCTGGGTGGTTCTGAAAAAGTCGACCAAATTCATTTTTCAATATTAATTTTAATATTATAAATCAAAATATTTATTACTTATACTAAAGAACATACCAATGATTCCTAGTCTAATTGCCATCTGGCTATGTCCAAATGTGTTATTGGCACTACAAACATACAATCCACTGTCTTCTCTATTCGTAGATTCAATATTTAAGACTGATTTGTAGCTTCTTTCAAAATTCGTATGCACTATTTGTATCCTAATAAATTATTTTAGCAATTGAAAAGCAAATTATTAAAATTAGCTTATGGAAATATTCACATATATATTAAGAGTTTCCTTTCACCTTTGATTATCTTCTGGCTTGTTTCCGTCTTTAGTCCAATAAATATTTAACGGTTTGTCTCCAGTTATGTTACAAACTAATAGAGAATCTTCGCCATTTTTTACCATTTTCTGAACTGACTCTATGTTAACTGTAGGTGGAACTAAAAACCAAAATATGATATATATTTCCTAAATGGTATTAAAGCTAAATTTCATGCTCACTATGAAAATCGCCACACTCGATCTTCTCCAATTTTGTTGAAACTCCTCAGCGAAGATAGCTAACGATCTTAAACTAAGATATGCAAAATATTAGATTTAAATGTTTTGTAGTTCTAGAGATTGCAACCTTGATTTGGACGTTACTCTGCTCTTCTTCATGCGCGAGGCGCGCACAAATCGTCAACTGTTTTCTTGTTGTGTGCCATCAGAGCACACATATTTTGAAATTTAGTGAATAAGGACAACGTTTTGCTGTAAACTCAGCTGTATTAGACACATTTTCTACTTTAGCATAACTTTTCTATACAGTGACTATCGAGTAGAACTGACTCGTAATAACTTAACAACCTGTTACTCCTACAGCAAACATACCTATTCGTTTGACTGTTATTTATTCATAACATCGTTCATATACAGCAAGGGTCACCAAACTATGGCCCGCGAGGTCAGTTCGTCCGGCCCACCGCCGCACTGTGCCACAAATGAACTAAAATATAATTATTTATATGGAAATATCATAGATTATAGATAAACTTATTACGTAAAAAAATTAAAATAAGTGTAAGTAAAAATGCCAAAATCGGTCTAATCCGATTTTTGCATCTGACAGTAATATAATTTTTAGATAAATTCGTGAAATAAAAAATTTGGCGACTTTTTGCGACTTTGAATATTAGAGCGCTTTTTGTATAAGAAAGCGATTACGAGCTAGCGGCAGCCATCGTGTTTGTGTATTGGTAAATAAATACGTTGATCGTTGGTTGTCTATTTTTTCAGTGTGCTGTATTGAACAAAATGGCTATATGGCCAGCGCTCGTCATTCTTTCAGTCATCTGGCCCGCTGTGAAAAAAGTTTGGTGACCCCTGATATAGAGTAAGGATTCTTGATCTTCCAGAATAGCAGAAATACGCTTAAATAAAAATTCCATGACTGATTTGTACCAATTTTGAAGAGTAAATATCTGGAAATGTGTCATTTCAGAGTATTTTTATTTTAATTAATTTATTTTTTTGAGTCTATTAAAAAGAACATCTTGTCTCTATCAGATTTCATGTTTTTAATCATTAACCAATCCTACCAAAGGAAGATGATTTCAAAAGTGAGCATTTAGATATATTTTGCAGATCTTAGTTTAAGACCCTAAACTATCTTACTTTATAGTTTGAACAAAATTAAAGAAGGTCGAGCGTGGAAGGTCGAGCCATTATATTAAAGGTGTGAATTTTATTATGTTTAATTTAAAATTCTTTTCTTTAATTAATATGTTTCTTATCTATCAATATTTGTATACCTTGAATTTCAACTCTGACTGTTTTGGATAAGTTTTCTCCAATGCCATTACTCACTTCACAGGTATAAAATCCTTCATCATCTTTTTTTGCAGCAACAGTAGACATTGTACCACTTTCAATAATTTTCCAATGGTTTTCTGTTACAGGAAATGATTGAGCAATACTGAAACCTATACAAATGAATTATATTTACAATAATACAATCTGCATTAATATCTAAGTTTAAAATTTTACGATTTTAAAAGAATATCCAGTAATTTAATTTATTCAACTTTAAGAAATTAATTAATTTGTTCATATCGCGTAGATTAGCCCCATATAATTAAAAATAATGTTAAAAAAAAACGATCTACAATGGTTTTGTGTGGGTCATCAATTACTATTATCACAACACATTACTATTATCATTAATACGTTTACTATTTTAACAACTTACAAACTTCTTAAAGATATTTAAATGTCTTCGTTATTTTATATAAATTTACTTCATGAATATCAGATACGATATTATCCCACATCTTATTTATTTATTTATTTTTTAAATAATATATATTTGTAAAAAACATTGGTTTTCTAAAGTACAAAGCTTCATAGTCATGATGATATTATAATTCAATGTTTTAATATTCCATTGACCGTATTTGCTGTTATCAAAATGAAAATCATTATTTGTTTACAAATTATTGTATTTAAAAATTTGTAAATAATATTGCAATAAATATATCGGGGAATAATATTGTCTTAAATTATAATTATTAGGCTTGATATATGATTTTAAAACAAACAAATATTGTCTTAGGTTTTATATTTTAAAATACTAAGTGTATATTATTGTTGTATAGTCACCTTTCGTTCTTCGCCATTTAACAGTTGGTACTGGATAGCCATCAGATTCACATTGAAGAACTAATTTGTTTCCTGCCTTGACAGACACGTCGTAAGGCTGACGAATCCATGAAGGAGGTACTAAAATTATAATTCATAATTAAAATATTCAATAGAATTTGTTATGAACATCGATTATTTTTAAATATCTTACCCGAAACTAATAATTTCGTCGTTAGACTATCGGATCCAGCTCTGTTTGTTACTAAGCAAGTATAATTTCCGCTATCTGCACTTTTAACCGATGCTATGATAAGCGAAGAAGAAAAGTCCTGACGTTGAACTATCAAATGAGAAGATTCTGTCAATGGCTTCCCATTCTTCGACCATTGAAAAGTAAATGGTGGATCGCCTTCATTAACGCCACACATTGCTATGTATCTTTGACTTTCCTTTAAGTTACTTTCGCTAATTTGTGGAACTATCTTTGGTGGAACTAAAATAATAGATATAAATAAATTTAATTTAATTAATTAAATATTTTGTATTAACATTTTAAGATTATATGTAAAATAATTTTACATCTTAACTATAATTTTCCTAATATAATAATACCAGTTGTTTAAACTCAAACCGGATACTGTAATAAACATTATAAAAATATTATTTTAAATTATTGATTTAAAAAATTTTAACATTTGTTAATCAGTTTTTAAGATTATCATGTCAATGTATTTTTTCTCCAGTTATTTCAAATTTTACTCTAAATCTAAGATAAATTTATTTTATAAATTAAACTTATAAACATAATGTAGTACGATAGTTTCTTTTTTAAATTTAAAAATTTAAATAAGAAGAAATAGTATATTATGATACAAGATGATTTTGGTTTTCCTAGTGTATTTGATCACACATGTCCAAACGAAAGTTTCATCCTTTACATAATTTCCCATCACAATATAAGTATTTTAAATAAATTTAAAACTAAAATATTGAATTTTTACTAAGTAAAAGTATCTTTGAATCTTTGAAAAAATCTTTGAATTTTTTGATCGACAATCGAAATATTTCAGAAAATAAAATGACTAAAAGGATTATCGTAAAACAATGCTGGTTTTGCTGTACTTTGGCTAAAAATAATTAAGCCTTAATTATTTTCTGTGAAAGTCCAACAAAACCTCACATATAAAATAGCCTTAATATTGTGTTCAACTTCTTGTTCTCTTCAACTGTACTTCTTAAATCTCAAATCGATAAATGTAGGACTTATCATATAGGATAAGTCCTACATTTGTGGAGTTGTGAGATTTTAGAAGTGCAGCCTTAATATTATTTATAAGACGCAGTTATAATTAAAATGACTTTTATATCAGTCAATTATAAATATAAATTTACTTTCTTAAAACTTAATTAATAAATATTTTATTACGTAGAAAATTGTTAAAAAATCTGAGACTTGTGTACTAAGTCAAAGCATAAAATTGTTTTCAAAATATTATTTGTGATATTCAATGTATATACGATGAGAAACATTGGCGAAATTTAAAACAGGCTATGTTACTATTTCTAAATTTTAATTTGTATTCCAACGGTTTTTCCATTTTATAAGCGATTTCCTATTGTTAATTTAATATAAAGAAAAGAAATAAATTAATTCATTTTAACAGTCTCATTAAATTCACATCACAATGAAATTACAGAAACAATTTAATATGCCAGCAAGATAAAAATTTGGAAAATCAGAACGTTCTTCCATCAACTTATGAACTAATGAATGTATTCATCAACCTCATACTCGCGCCATATTTATATGATAATGTTAACAAACTGTTATTAGACTACAATAATGATAATCTATATCTCAAATTTTATATAGTATTGAGATAAATTTCTTGGAAACGTTATAGACGGTAAAGAATGACTAATTTCAAAATCACGTTGCCTGTTGAATATAACAACAGTGACAAATTCAACTGTGGGTTCGCGCCTCGCCTGGACGGGCTGGTCACGTGGAGTTTTCCGGTTTTCTCCACGTTTGTAACGCCTGAATAGGGACCAAATAGGAGAATGCCTTCCGGGAGGTCTTTTTAAGGCCTCCCGGAAGGCATTTCCCCTAGGCGGATTGCCCAAGTGTTGCTTTGCCGTAACTTAACTAAACAAACAAATAAATTCAACTACAAGTACAAAGTTATTACTTTACAGATCTAAATACTACTGTAAGATGGAGATCGATAGTAAAGGTAGTATTTTTTTATTTGTAACTCCGTTATGATGCAACTTGCAATGTAAATTTTTATAAATAAATGAAATTACTTTCTAATTTGCTTAATCAACTTGCGAAAAAGCAAATTAAGAATTAGAAAAAGAAAATTAGAAATTTCAAATCAAAAGATTGTAATATGTCAACATAACATATTGTTTTATTTTTATTATTGTATTTCCAAATTATATTGTTGAAATAAAAAAATTATATATTTAAAAATTTATATTATATAATATACATTAATGTTTTAATCAATTTTGAAATTCTTATACAATAATATTCATTTGAAAAATATATTTTAATATCAAATATTCGATGTTCATTAGGCTTTACGGACTACAGTGTGGTCACAGTTCAAGATTTTAGCGTGGCTACAAATTTTTATTATAAGAACAATATCTTGCAACATTGCCACTTTCATAATGTAATAATAACTGGAACTGATTCAATGAGATAATATCAAAAACAGATATCTGTGCGGCACGAAATTAAAGGGATAGCTTAGCACTAAATTAAAGGAAATTGCTTTCCTTAATGATATTTAATTTTTGCATTGCATCATAAAAATAATATAAATTAGAAAATGAAATGGATACTATAAAAATAAATAATATCTTCTGTATCAGTAAAAGTGAATGACTATACAGTATTTCTAATTTTAGTTTTTAAAAATTATTACATGTAGGGTAATAGTCGGATGTTAGTTAACTTGATAAAATTCGAAATTTTCTCTTAAAATATATTATTATTCTTTTCTTCGTATTAATGTTGTGTGTTTGTATGTAGATCTATTGTAGATCTGTATATATAAGTATGTGTATATATGTATATATAGGTCTATATATACATATAAAGATACATACCGGACAATTTTTTCAGAAACCGTTCTTTTGAAAAATATGCTTATAAAATAACCTTTCAACAACGGCACATCCGAATAACTGCCATGTTTTATTTTGTCATCAGTCGCTGTTGATCCTAACTTTATAAATACAAAAAATGTAAAAATTCAGAGAGAAATCACACAAAGCGAACAAATTAAATTACAGTCGACCCCCCTATAATACTGTTGATTATTCCGTTTTATATGAATTCCATGTTGTACGAGTCACTTAGATTTAAGTGACTCATACAACATGGAATTCATATAAAACGGAATAATCAACAGTGTTATAGGGGGGGTCGACTGTATTCTTCTACAAATAATATGAGCTATCTAACGTAATTCATACAAATACACCAAAACTAAAAAATAAATAACAATAAAATATCCTGAAAATTTTTATCATTATAGTCAATTTATTTCAATATTCCTACTAAATATGCATTTTTGTAATGATTAAAATCGATAAAACTTTTAAATAAATATACTGTACATAATAAGCACAACCTTTGGTTGATCTATTTGAAATTTTTTAATCATATTTATAGTTTTCAAATGTCTAGAAAATATATTTATTAATTTAGGAACTAAGAAATTTTCCGATTAAAATAGACTGTCAGCCTAATTTAGACTTAAATTTTAATTTAATTCCATTGCAATTGAATTAAAATTTTAGAGTAATTTTTTATTGGAGACACAATCATATTCTTTACATGTGCTTAAATTTATTTTAGAAGTCAATATAGTTTCTAATACTGTATAACTAATAGTTCTGACATTTATTTACAACTGTCAGCACAAAAATTCCAATGGATAGAGTTTTTCATCCATTTAGAGTGATCAGAAGTCATTTAAGATTTTTCCTCCTTCAGTAACATTGATATAAATAAAATGAGACGTTTGAATAGTATATTATGCAATTAGTTTATAATATAGGCGATTATGGCATAAATGGAAATTTGGCCCACTCGCTCCGTCGTGTGTCAATTTCCATGAATGCCATAATCGCTAATTATAAACGAATTGTCATACGGTATTTTGAAGCTAGACTACACCTATTACACTATACATATGGAATTCAAAATCATGTATAAATACAGTATGTGTAGCACCCGCGTCATAAAGCCGTGCCACAAACACTGTGTTGATACATGATTTTGAGTTTCATAAGTATAGAGTTATAGGTGTAGTCAACCACAAAGATTATTAATATTAATAAGTAGAAGAACAAACATTTGAATCTTTAAATATGTAACTGTTCATCGTTTTTATTCTTTATAGATAATGCGGTGCCAAAATCGTAAAAACAATTATTAGTAAACTGTTTTTAAATATATTTATATAGATAAAAAATGAAAAAGTAAGCACATAATAAAATTTATACAAAATAATTATGAAAACATTTTAATTATATTTGAATAAAGATGAAATATAACATATTTATAAAAATTAAAATATATTCATTAATGATGGGAAAATAATATTGATAATGCATTGTATGATTTCGAAATGGTTTAAATATAAAAGAGTTTTACACTTTATGTAAAAGTCTAAGTGTTTGGGATGTATCTTAGACATTTTAAATTAAAAAAATAAAATACAAAAATCCAGACCAAATTTTGATTTTTAAACTTTCTCTTAAAATATCTATAAAATTATTATATAAATAATATATACAAGCGAAAATTTGTATACTATTAAGTATACAAATTTTCGCTTGTATAATATACAATAAATCGTTTATAAGTTATTTGACAATTTTCAAAACATATGATACCGAAATGAAGGAAACACTCAACGATAAGTACCCAAACAATTTTAAAATTATTAAAATAATTATTTAATAGTAATATTAATAGTCTATAATGCTAAATATCGAATTAAATAAGTTTTATTTTGAGAATTTTTATGAATATGCAACTTTAAAAATAATAGTTAATCACTATATAGACATGTTACATATCTACAGTCTATATATCTAACATATCTATCTAGATATACAGTCTAACATATCTATCTAGATATGTTACATATAGACAGTCACTAAACAAATCAAGTTATGAGAAAAACTAGAAAAAATATATTAGACATGTTTTAAATATACAAAATTCTTTATTAAGCTATAAGAATGACTGAGTAAAATTGTACAATGTCTTGAGTATAATATAAAATTGATATAAAATGATAAAATAATTTTCAATTAAATGAAAAAATTGGCAGATCGTCTATAACAATTCAAAGTATAAAATAAAACCTTTTATAATTAGATTTTATAGAATCTGTAGTACTGCATATAAAATTAAATTATAATTATATAAATTAAAAATCTTCTCTAATCAATTTTATAAAATTATAGTTTTGAATAAAAACAAATAAAATAATATTAAAAATGTTATATTAATATGTTTATACATGAAATGTTTAACAAGAATTTAATAAAATTATATATCAACACTTACAAATTAATATAAATTAATTAAAATGTAATGTTGTATTTCTGAAAGTATTATCAAGTAACATTTATTACACTATTAAATTCAATTTGGAATAAAATTAATTTCTTTTAATTATTAAATATGATCTTTAAAATAATTTATATTTATTAAACATTTAATAATTCTAATCATTTTAACATCATTATATTTTGTTGTTACTTAAATTCTAAAGATCATGGTTTATTAAAATATAAACCATGATCTTTAGAAAAAACTGCAAATTCTCTTTAAACTATAACGAATTTAATAATAATATAAAATAATACCTATTATTTTCGGCAGTTAATAAATAAACAATATACAGTATTAATACATTTATCAAATATTATATCTGTTATCTGGGTAAAGAATTTCATTTCATTCAATTATTTAAGTTATATATATTGATAGAATGTTTAATTTAATAAATTGTATCATAATTAAATTGTTTTAATTCAAAAATATACAATTATTATCAACTACAAAATTTATTTCTGTATAAATTGCTAAAACAAAACGAAAAGCTTTCACATTAGCGAAGATAAATTAAAATTGATAAATTTAGTATATTACTTTTCGCTTTGTAATCAATGATCGTTTCCGACCTATTGCAGAAAGACAAGATGGCGACCGATAGCAGAATAAAGAACAAACTTATTACTTACCTTCCATGACAATGGGATAAATAAGATGACAAATCCATAAATATAAACACCAAACTAGTAAATTGCGATTCTGATGTATTTCCATAGCAAATTATAAGCAGATATCAGTGCAATAGTTATGAAATCACAATGAGTAGATGCAGTCCTTGCATAGCTCGGCTCTGTTGCAGTGAAGCCACACTTCCATTCTCGTTAAAACCTACATGGCCCAGTAAAAATGTCTACGTGAGAAGATATCCAGAAAATACCAGTCCTATTAAATTATGAAATTCCTATTATTCTTGTTTTGACATATATAAAGAACTGCATAAACTTTTACTTGAACCTTGATTTTAGGTGGATAAACCTGCTTTGAATAATACTAAACAGCTGATTAGAGCGACACATAGTGGTAAAATATAGTACTTAGTTACACAATAATAAAATTAACGAATGAAAAACTTCAGTTTCAAAAATTAATTTAAGAAAACCTAAGTTATATATCTTAAATATTAAACATATACAATGATTATTAATAATAACATTGCAATAAAATTTCCAGCATTAAGAATTAGAATTTTTCTGAATATATCAACCACAAGTGTAAACTTTTACTTACTCTGTTAAAATACTTTTAGTAATTTCTTCAAATTATGCTTGTTAAAACTGACTGTAAATAAAATTATAATTTTTATTTTTCTGTAAATATTAAATATTTTAGTATAAAACAGAACTTACCTGCATGCTTCACACATATAATAATAAATTATATTACTTTTAAAATTTAATGACAAAGTAACAATCACTCACGAAGCCATTAAGGTATTCAATTAGGATAAAATACAAAAACAATAAAATATTAATAATGAATAAAAATGTTTTATTTTCATAAAAACAAATACGGTCTAAGAAGTTCAATACAGAATGCAAACTTTTAACAAATCACACAATTCTTCTAATCATATAATCTACAGAAACATTTAACAGTTTTCATGTTGTAGATTTTATTGGACATATCTTAAGTTATAAAAGTTTGCGTGTTTTTGGAAACTGTTGAATGCTCATAAAAATCTTCAAAAGTTTGAATGATTTACAAAGTTGTTTTGCGGTTCCTATAATAAAGAATTATTCTAAATGGAAAATAAGTGAACAATATAAATTTAAAATATTTATAACTTACATGGCATTGGCACCTAAGAAATTCTTCATTTCTTCCACCACACTATCGTATCTAGGATCATCATATTCCGCTTCACTTCCATATGTATGAAGAGCGGAGTAAGTAGATTGATTCTGTACAGGAGTGGATGCCGGAATGGGAACAGGAGGAGGAGCAGGAGTAGGAGCTGGAACTGGAGCACGTGGTAAGGAACGAACCATTCCCGTCGTTACTAAATNAGATTTTTATCTGCATCAAAATTCTCTCAATGCACATCTTGCAATGCACTGTTATTAATAAAATAATTACTTTGTTCGGATAATTATATTATAATTATATAGGTAAACATATAAGTATGCAAATAAATATAAAGTTTTTCGTACTAAATGTGCGTTGCAACGTTTTCCATTTCTTTAGCCTATTCTGCGTTCTTTGAGAGAATTTTGACGCTTACTGTATTTTGATTGAAAAACGGCGATAGAACTTTATCAACTGAACAGCTTACCATATTGATCGAGATTAATGAAATTATATTCATTAAACATTTAAACTGTCATACAGTATAGTACCGCAAATTCGACTTAATTAGACTGAAAAGGTAGCGAGTTATCAAAAATAACTAGTTTTACGGATAGCGATGATGATAGTCTAAATAGTTGAATATTCATAAAGTACATTATATGTACAAATTCATATACATATTATCTACGCACCAATAGAGATTATTAATACTTGTAATTAAGTTTTAATTTTAAGAAACGAAGTAGCTAGTTTCGAGTCAGTGACATTCGCGTATTGGCGTTTTGCAATGTTCTCCTGTTATATTCTTTGTTAACAGGTAGAATTGATGCTATTATCGAGTTTCGCCAGTGAAAAACAATAACTTATTCGATAGTAGTGTCAAGTTATAAAGATAAAAATTATATTACATGTTCATTATTGTTAATTTTTTTCGAACGACACGACGAGTTTTATGGAATGTCGATTTATCGATAGTCGAGTTTTCTGGGCTCTATTGTAATTTATTTTAAAATTATGTTTATGAATACGAATAAAAATTATAAATTCTTTCTATTAAACTTCATTAAAATCAATCCAATTTATCAAACAAGTCGTGTTTAAAAATACGAAAATATTTTGAATAATTAATGACCAAAAATTTTGCACAAAAATAAATGATTATCTGATATCAGTAATGAAATTCAAATATACTGTTAAACATAAACCGAAATAATATATCTTTTTTAAAATGGCTAACTTTTATTTGCTGTGAGAAAGCTGAGTACTTCAGTGGGTCCACTGTCTCCATATTCGTTCTTCGCTGTTAAATACATCTGATATTGAACTCCACTGACCAATCCTCCGATAGTATAATTATTATTTGGAGCCAATGGCAGTCGAACCATTTGCCACTGACCATTGGTAGGTTTTATGTGAGCAACATAACCTATTAATATTTAAAGAATAAAGTTAATCGATGTTTATACATTCTAAATAATATTTAAAGTAATATTAAGTACCAGTAAGCGGTGTGTTTCTCTTCGAAGACCATAAAATTCTCATAGTCACCGAATTTGGATCAGTTGTCAAAATGGATATTCGAGGTGTTGGAGGAGATTCTTAAAAATAAATATAATGAAGTTTAATTAAAAATTTTAATATATTTAGTCTTATAATACTTATTAATAAATGTTCTCTTACCAATATACGATGTTGTTAAGAGTATTGGTTCCGAAGGTGGAGCTAATCCTGCTCTATTATAAGCAATTACATTTACAGTGTAAGTTGAAGTCTTCTGCAGATTATCCAACACAGTTTTTTGAATTTCCGTTTTTGAATCAATTTTTACATTTTTATATGAGTAAGATATTTGTGAACCTTGACTGGTTTTTTTATATCCAATGTAAAATCCCAGTAATGGTCCATTCCACTGATGTTTTGGAGGAGACTAAAATTTTTAAATGTTTATTATTAATTTAAATAAAATATTGAAATCAAAACAAAGATCACTAAAAACAATTACCTTCCAACTTAAAACAGCTGAAGCTGTCGATTTATCACTTACTTGAAGATCAAAAGCAGGAGATGCAGGTTCTGCAAAAATAAAAGTAATCATGTTAGATATTATTAAATGTATTAATAATTAATTTTTTCACTCTATAAAGCCTAACATTTATTTTATACTTATAAAATCAAGCTTGCAAAAATAATCAAACTAACTTTAGAGCTAAAAATAACTAAAAACTAATTATCACCTTCTTCAGTGGTAATAGCTTCAACAGTTTTCGACGGTTTGCTACTTCCTACTTCATTGACGGCAACAACTTGAAATTGATATTTTGTATATGGCTTCAAACGAAGAACAATCACTGACATTTGAGATCCATCAACTTTTAATTCCAAAGGATTATTCTTATCTTCTAAGAAAAGTAACAATAACAATAACATTCAGTTTAAATATAAATAAAGATATTAATTTCGATCAAATTACTCCAGAGAATGAGAAAGAAACTCTACTTTGTAGGTCAACAACTTTGATAATTATAATTAAAGTACGTTCACTGGTGACATGCATACTTAAATTTCAATGTCATTTTTTTCGATTCTCTGTAAAACATTAATTGTTTCCACTGACAAAATCAATTTAAATCTATTTATATTTTGTAATTTTAAATTATATATTTTTCGCTTTGAAAGAGAAACTAATCAAGGTCGTTTGTCACTTGCAGAGGCCATCAAGCTTTGTCCTTTGTGTAATGAATGAACACGATTAGAAAGTGAACTAAATTAAAGTTTCTTTAGATAAGCGATGAAAGGTTGTATTNAATATATTTTAATATCAAATATTCGATGTTCATTAGGCTTTACGGACTACAGTGTGGTCACAGTTCAAGATTTTAGCGTGGCTACAAATTTTTATTATAAGAACAATATCTTGCAACATTGCCACTTTCATAATGTAATAATAACTGGAACTGATTCAATGAGATAATATCAAAAACAGATATCTGTGCGGCACGAAATTAAAGGGATAGCTTAGCACTAAATTAAAGGAAATTGCTTTCCTTAATGATATTTAATTTTTGCATTGCATCATAAAAATAATATAAATTAGAAAATGAAATGGATACTATAAAAATAAATAATATCTTCTGTATCAGTAAAAGTGAATGACTATACAGTATTTCTAATTTTAGTTTTTAAAAATTATTACATGTAGGGTAATAGTCGGATGTTAGTTAACTTGATAAAATTCGAAATTTTCTCTTAAAATATATTATTATTCTTTTCTTCGTATTAATGTTGTGTGTTTGTATGTAGATCTATTGTAGATCTGTATATATAAGTATGTGTATATATGTATATATAGGTCTATATATACATATAAAGATACATACCGGACAATTTTTTCAGAAACCGTTCTTTTGAAAAATATGCTTATAAAATAACCTTTCAACAACGGCACATCCGAATAACTGCCATGTTTTATTTTGTCATCAGTCGCTGTTGATCCTAACTTTATAAATACAAAAAATGTAAAAATTCAGAGAGAAATCACACAAAGCGAACAAATTAAATTACAGTCGACCCCCCTATAATACTGTTGATTATTCCGTTTTATATGAATTCCATGTTGTACGAGTCACTTAGATTTAAGTGACTCATACAACATGGAATTCATATAAAACGGAATAATCAACAGTGTTATAGGGGGGGTCGACTGTATTCTTCTACAAATAATATGAGCTATCTAACGTAATTCATACAAATACACCAAAACTAAAAAATAAATAACAATAAAATATCCTGAAAATTTTTATCATTATAGTCAATTTATTTCAATATTCCTACTAAATATGCATTTTTGTAATGATTAAAATCGATAAAACTTTTAAATAAATATACTGTACATAATAAGCACAACCTTTGGTTGATCTATTTGAAATTTTTTAATCATATTTATAGTTTTCAAATGTCTAGAAAATATATTTATTAATTTAGGAACTAAGAAATTTTCCGATTAAAATAGACTGTCAGCCTAATTTAGACTTAAATTTTAATTTAATTCCATTGCAATTGAATTAAAATTTTAGAGTAATTTTTTATTGGAGACACAATCATATTCTTTACATGTGCTTAAATTTATTTTAGAAGTCAATATAGTTTCTAATACTGTATAACTAATAGTTCTGACATTTATTTACAACTGTCAGCACAAAAATTCCAATGGATAGAGTTTTTCATCCATTTAGAGTGATCAGAAGTCATTTAAGATTTTTCCTCCTTCAGTAACATTGATATAAATAAAATGAGACGTTTGAATAGTATATTATGCAATTAGTTTATAATATAGGCGATTATGGCATAAATGGAAATTTGGCCCACTCGCTCCGTCGTGTGTCAATTTCCATGAATGCCATAATCGCTAATTATAAACGAATTGTCATACGGTATTTTGAAGCTAGACTACACCTATTACACTATACATATGGAATTCAAAATCATGTATAAATACAGTATGTGTAGCACCCGCGTCATAAAGCCGTGCCACAAACACTGTGTTGATACATGATTTTGAGTTTCATAAGTATAGAGTTATAGGTGTAGTCAACCACAAAGATTATTAATATTAATAAGTAGAAGAACAAACATTTGAATCTTTAAATATGTAACTGTTCATCGTTTTTATTCTTTATAGATAATGCGGTGCCAAAATCGTAAAAACAATTATTAGTAAACTGTTTTTAAATATATTTATATAGATAAAAAATGAAAAAGTAAGCACATAATAAAATTTATACAAAATAATTATGAAAACATTTTAATTATATTTGAATAAAGATGAAATATAACATATTTATAAAAATTAAAATATATTCATTAATGATGGGAAAATAATATTGATAATGCATTGTATGATTTCGAAATGGTTTAAATATAAAAGAGTTTTACACTTTATGTAAAAGTCTAAGTNAAGAAATTTTCCGATTAAAATAGACTGTCAGCCTAATTTAGACTTAAATTTTAATTTAATTCCATTGCAATTGAATTAAAATTTTAGAGTAATTTTTTATTGGAGACACAATCATATTCTTTACATGTGCTTAAATTTATTTTAGAAGTCAATATAGTTTCTAATACTGTATAACTAATAGTTCTGACATTTATTTACAACTGTCAGCACAAAAATTCCAATGGATAGAGTTTTTCATCCATTTAGAGTGATCAGAAGTCATTTAAGATTTTTCCTCCTTCAGTAACATTGATATAAATAAAATGAGACGTTTGAATAGTATATTATGCAATTAGTTTATAATATAGGCGATTATGGCATAAATGGAAATTTGGCCCACTCGCTCCGTCGTGTGTCAATTTCCATGAATGCCATAATCGCTAATTATAAACGAATTGTCATACGGTATTTTGAAGCTAGACTACACCTATTACACTATACATATGGAATTCAAAATCATGTATAAATACAGTATGTGTAGCACCCGCGTCATAAAGCCGTGCCACAAACACTGTGTTGATACATGATTTTGAGTTTCATAAGTATAGAGTTATAGGTGTAGTCAACCACAAAGATTATTAATATTAATAAGTAGAAGAACAAACATTTGAATCTTTAAATATGTAACTGTTCATCGTTTTTATTCTTTATAGATAATGCGGTGCCAAAATCGTAAAAACAATTATTAGTAAACTGTTTTTAAATATATTTATATAGATAAAAAATGAAAAAGTAAGCACATAATAAAATTTATACAAAATAATTATGAAAACATTTTAATTATATTTGAATAAAGATGAAATATAACATATTTATAAAAATTAAAATATATTCATTAATGATGGGAAAATAATATTGATAATGCATTGTATGATTTCGAAATGGTTTAAATATAAAAGAGTTTTACACTTTATGTAAAAGTCTAAGTGTTTGGGATGTATCTTAGACATTTTAAATTAAAAAAATAAAATACAAAAATCCAGACCAAATTTTGATTTTTAAACTTTCTCTTAAAATATCTATAAAATTATTATATAAATAATATATACAAGCGAAAATTTGTATACTATTAAGTATACAAATTTTCGCTTGTATAATATACAATAAATCGTTTATAAGTTATTTGACAATTTTCAAAACATATGATACCGAAATGAAGGAAACACTCAACGATAAGTACCCAAACAATTTTAAAATTATTAAAATAATTATTTAATAGTAATATTAATAGTCTATAATGCTAAATATCGAATTAAATAAGTTTTATTTTGAGAATTTTTATGAATATGCAACTTTAAAAATAATAGTTAATCACTATATAGACATGTTACATATCTACAGTCTATATATCTAACATATCTATCTAGATATACAGTCTAACATATCTATCTAGATATGTTACATATAGACAGTCACTAAACAAATCAAGTTATGAGAAAAACTAGAAAAAATATATTAGACATGTTTTAAATATACAAAATTCTTTATTAAGCTATAAGAATGACTGAGTAAAATTGTACAATGTCTTGAGTATAATATAAAATTGATATAAAATGATAAAATAATTTTCAATTAAATGAAAAAATTGGCAGATCGTCTATAACAATTCAAAGTATAAAATAAAACCTTTTATAATTAGATTTTATAGAATCTGTAGTACTGCATATAAAATTAAATTATAATTATATAAATTAAAAATCTTCTCTAATCAATTTTATAAAATTATAGTTTTGAATAAAAACAAATAAAATAATATTAAAAATGTTATATTAATATGTTTATACATGAAATGTTTAACAAGAATTTAATAAAATTATATATCAACACTTACAAATTAATATAAATTAATTAAAATGTAATGTTGTATTTCTGAAAGTATTATCAAGTAACATTTATTACACTATTAAATTCAATTTGGAATAAAATTAATTTCTTTTAATTATTAAATATGATCTTTAAAATAATTTATATTTATTAAACATTTAATAATTCTAATCATTTTAACATCATTATATTTTGTTGTTACTTAAATTCTAAAGATCATGGTTTATTAAAATATAAACCATGATCTTTAGAAAAAACTGCAAATTCTCTTTAAACTATAACGAATTTAATAATAATATAAAATAATACCTATTATTTTCGGCAGTTAATAAATAAACAATATACAGTATTAATACATTTATCAAATATTATATCTGTTATCTGGGTAAAGAATTTCATTTCATTCAATTATTTAAGTTATATATATTGATAGAATGTTTAATTTAATAAATTGTATCATAATTAAATTGTTTTAATTCAAAAATATACAATTATTATCAACTACAAAATTTATTTCTGTATAAATTGCTAAAACAAAACGAAAAGCTTTCACATTAGCGAAGATAAATTAAAATTGATAAATTTAGTATATTACTTTTCGCTTTGTAATCAATGATCGTTTCCGACCTATTGCAGAAAGACAAGATGGCGACCGATAGCAGAATAAAGAACAAACTTATTACTTACCTTCCATGACAATGGGATAAATAAGATGACAAATCCATAAATATAAACACCAAACTAGTAAATTGCGATTCTGATGTATTTCCATAGCAAATTATAAGCAGATATCAGTGCAATAGTTATGAAATCACAATGAGTAGATGCAGTCCTTGCATAGCTCGGCTCTGTTGCAGTGAAGCCACACTTCCATTCTCGTTAAAACCTACATGGCCCAGTAAAAATGTCTACGTGAGAAGATATCCAGAAAATACCAGTCCTATTAAATTATGAAATTCCTATTATTCTTGTTTTGACATATATAAAGAACTGCATAAACTTTTACTTGAACCTTGATTTTAGGTGGATAAACCTGCTTTGAATAATACTAAACAGCTGATTAGAGCGACACATAGTGGTAAAATATAGTACTTAGTTACACAATAATAAAATTAACGAATGAAAAACTTCAGTTTCAAAAATTAATTTAAGAAAACCTAAGTTATATATCTTAAATATTAAACATATACAATGATTATTAATAATAACATTGCAATAAAATTTCCAGCATTAAGAATTAGAATTTTTCTGAATATATCAACCACAAGTGTAAACTTTTACTTACTCTGTTAAAATACTTTTAGTAATTTCTTCAAATTATGCTTGTTAAAACTGACTGTAAATAAAATTATAATTTTTATTTTTCTGTAAATATTAAATATTTTAGTATAAAACAGAACTTACCTGCATGCTTCACACATATAATAATAAATTATATTACTTTTAAAATTTAATGACAAAGTAACAATCACTCACGAAGCCATTAAGGTATTCAATTAGGATAAAATACAAAAACAATAAAATATTAATAATGAATAAAAATGTTTTATTTTCATAAAAACAAATACGGTCTAAGAAGTTCAATACAGAATGCAAACTTTTAACAAATCACACAATTCTTCTAATCATATAATCTACAGAAACATTTAACAGTTTTCATGTTGTAGATTTTATTGGACATATCTTAAGTTATAAAAGTTTGCGTGTTTTTGGAAACTGTTGAATGCTCATAAAAATCTTCAAAAGTTTGAATGATTTACAAAGTTGTTTTGCGGTTCCTATAATAAAGAATTATTCTAAATGGAAAATAAGTGAACAATATAAATTTAAAATATTTATAACTTACATGGCATTGGCACCTAAGAAATTCTTCATTTCTTCCACCACACTATCGTATCTAGGATCATCATATTCCGCTTCACTTCCATATGTATGAAGAGCGGAGTAAGTAGATTGATTCTGTACAGGAGTGGATGCCGGAATGGGAACAGGAGGAGGAGCAGGAGTAGGAGCTGGAACTGGAGCACGTGGTAAGGAACGAACCATTCCCGTCGTTACTAAATCGGGTCTTTGAGTTGGAGTGGCTGCTGTATAAGTAAAGCCGCGTGCCTCGACGCCTTCTGGTGCATAAAGACCAGTTTATGAATAATAATGGAAAAATCAATAAAAATATTTAAGAATAAAACAAACCTGGTTCTAAAAACGGCCTGTCTAATTTGTGCATGCAGCAGCAGGATNCTTACCAAATTACATAAAAAGAAACGTCTTAACTTTTCCAAACGCTATAAAGACTGGACCTTATAAGATTGGAAAAGGATTGTATGGTCAGATGAATTCAAAATTAATAGAGTTGGTTCAGATGGGCGAAAATTGGTATGGACTACATCGACGAAGTCTATAACTAGCGACATTGAAATTTGGTGGTGATAGTCTTACGGGCCCGTATTACTTATAACAGCAGGCCCGTATTACTTATTTCGGGCCTGCTGTTCTATACCTAATAGAATGGATAGCGTTATTTACACCTAAATACTTGACGATTATTTGTTACAATCTGTTGATTATTACCACATTGATAGGAGCTCTTTCATTAATCATCAAGATAATGATCCAAAACATACATCTAGGAGGAAATATCATGGCTTCGGGATGAAAACATTAGCCTGCTTAAGTGACTGCCTCAATCTCTCGATCTCAACCCGATTTAACACGTCTGGTCCCTTCTTAAACGTCGCTTGTCTGACTATGCAGCTCCGCCTGAAAGCATCTACAAATTATGGGAACGTGTACAGGTCAAGTGAGGCAAAATAATATTGCACGATTGAAGGAATATTTAATTGGAATATGGCTGAAAGAATTAGGAAGGTTTTAAAGGCCAAAGGAAGTTATACTAATTATTAAAGTGTATAGTCGACCCCCCTATAACACGTTCCGTTCTTTATGAAATTGATGTTCTACGAGTCCTTAAATACATGAGCCAATCACAGCCCGGCACGTATGCAGTTTATTGACTACGGTTTTAACTACTGTTTGAAAGGTTTTCTTCCATAAAATTAATCGATTCTAGACTAATTTGACTCAACATTTCCAAAACACGTACAATTTTTTGGGAATAATCCATATAAACTATGCTATAAACAAAAAATTGTAGGATTACTTACCGAGTGTGCAAACGAAGCCATTGCTTAAGCTTGTTTTCGTCGCGGAGCGGCGCATCGAACGGGGCGTGCGCGTTTCCTAATAAATTATTTTTCTGCGAAAAATTTGCTGAACTTTGGAGACATCATTAATATAAATATAATTTTTATGGACGTTAAATAATAAATGGTTTTTAGTAGGTCTGCTGCTCGTTTAAACTCAACGGTTTGTGCAATATCCGCTATTGGTCTACATTCGACCAATCCTGTAGCGACATGAGTCGGCAATGGCGTTTTATCGTTATATAGGAGTCTCTTTTAGATTGTTTATACGAATATGGTCGCAATTTTTTCCCCGTTATATATGAATCCGAATTATATGAACCCGTTTTATGGGGGATCTACTGTACTTTTTCCACAATTATGAAACAGATTTTTATCTGCATCAAAATTCTCTCAATGCACATCTTGCAATGCACTGTTATTAATAAAATAATTACTTTGTTCGGATAATTATATTATAATTATATAGGTAAACATATAAGTATGCAAATAAATATAAAGTTTTTCGTACTAAATGTGCGTTGCAACGTTTTCCATTTCTTTAGCCTATTCTGCGTTCTTTGAGAGAATTTTGACGCTTACTGTATTTTGATTGAAAAACGGCGATAGAACTTTATCAACTGAACAGCTTACCATATTGATCGAGATTAATGAAATTATATTCATTAAACATTTAAACTGTCATACAGTATAGTACCGCAAATTCGACTTAATTAGACTGAAAAGGTAGCGAGTTATCAAAAATAACTAGTTTTACGGATAGCGATGATGATAGTCTAAATAGTTGAATATTCATAAAGTACATTATATGTACAAATTCATATACATATTATCTACGCACCAATAGAGATTATTAATACTTGTAATTAAGTTTTAATTTTAAGAAACGAAGTAGCTAGTTTCGAGTCAGTGACATTCGCGTATTGGCGTTTTGCAATGTTCTCCTGTTATATTCTTTGTTAACAGGTAGAATTGATGCTATTATCGAGTTTCGCCAGTGAAAAACAATAACTTATTCGATAGTAGTGTCAAGTTATAAAGATAAAAATTATATTACATGTTCATTATTGTTAATTTTTTTCGGACGACACGACGAGTTTTATGGAATGTCGATTTATCGATAGTCGAGTTTTCTGGGCTCTATTGTAATTTATTTTAAAATTATGTTTATGAATACGAATAAAAATTATAAATTCTTTCTATTAAACTTCATTAAAATCAATCCAATTTATCAAACAAGTCGTGTTTAAAAATACGAAAATATTTTGAATAATTAATGACCAAAAATTTTGCACAAAAATAAATGATTATCTGATATCAGTAATGAAATTCAAATATACTGTTAAACATAAACCGAAATAATATATCTTTTTTAAAATGGCTAACTTTTATTTGCTGTGAGAAAGCTGAGTACTTCAGTGGGTCCACTGTCTCCATATTCGTTCTTCGCTGTTAAATACATCTGATATTGAACTCCACTGACCAATCCTCCGATAGTATAATTATTATTTGGAGCCAATGGCAGTCGAACCATTTGCCACTGACCATTGGTAGGTTTTATGTGAGCAACATAACCTATTAATATTTAAAGAATAAAGTTAATCGATGTTTATACATTCTAAATAATATTTAAAGTAATATTAAGTACCAGTAAGCGGTGTGTTTCTCTTCGAAGACCATAAAATTCTCATAGTCACCGAATTTGGATCAGTTGTCAAAATGGATATTCGAGGTGTTGGAGGAGATTCTTAAAAATAAATATAATGAAGTTTAATTAAAAATTTTAATATATTTAGTCTTATAATACTTATTAATAAATGTTCTCTTACCAATATACGATGTTGTTAAGAGTATTGGTTCCGAAGGTGGAGCTAATCCTGCTCTATTATAAGCAATTACATTTACAGTGTAAGTTGAAGTCTTCTGCAGATTATCCAACACAGTTTTTTGAATTTCCGTTTTTGAATCAATTTTTACATTTTTATATGAGTAAGATATTTGTGAACCTTGACTGGTTTTTTTATATCCAATGTAAAATCCCAGTAATGGTCCATTCCACTGATGTTTTGGAGGAGACTAAAATTTTTAAATGTTTATTATTAATTTAAATAAAATATTGAAATCAAAACAAAGATCACTAAAAACAATTACCTTCCAACTTAAAACAGCTGAAGCTGTCGATTTATCACTTACTTGAAGATCAAAAGCAGGAGATGCAGGTTCTGCAAAAATAAAAGTAATCATGTTAGATATTATTAAATGTATTAATAATTAATTTTTTCACTCTATAAAGCCTAACATTTATTTTATACTTATAAAATCAAGCTTGCAAAAATAATCAAACTAACTTTAGAGCTAAAAATAACTAAAAACTAATTATCACCTTCTTCAGTGGTAATAGCTTCAACAGTTTTCGACGGTTTGCTACTTCCTACTTCATTGACGGCAACAACTTGAAATTGATATTTTGTATATGGCTTCAAACGAAGAACAATCACTGACATTTGAGATCCATCAACTTTTAATTCCAAAGGATTATTCTTATCTTCTAAGAAAAGTAACAATAACAATAACATTCAAATTAAATATAAATAAAGATATATAATAAAAATCATTTGTTAGTACCTTTCTTATAAGTACAGATGTACTTTTTAATTGCGGTATTTCCATTATAAGGCTGCAACCAACTGAGCCGAACACTTCTACTCCATATTGTTTTCACTTTTAACTCTTCAGGCTGACTGGGTGGCTCTGAAAATTCGACAAAACTCATTTTATATATTATTTTAATATTTTAAATCAAAATATTCATTACTAATGTTAAGGAGCTTACCAACAATTCCTAGTCTAATTGCCATTTGACTATGTCCAAATGTGTTATTGGCACTACAAACATACAATCCACTGTCTCCTCTATTAGTAGATTCAATATTTAAGACTGATTTGTAGCTTTTTTCAAAATTCGTGTGCACTATTTGTATCCTAATAAATTATTTTAGCAATTGAAAAGCAAATTATTAAAATAGCTTATGGAAATATTCACATATATATTAAGAGTTTCCTTTCACCTTTGATTGTCTTCTGGCTTGTTTCCATCTTTAGTCCAATAAATATTTAGCGGTTTGTCTCCAGTTATGTTACAAACTAATATAGAATCTTCACCATTTCTTACCGTTTTCTGAACAGATTCCACATTTACTATCGGTGGGACTATAAGAGAATAGTATATCTCTATTGTTAAATTGCAATAATGAGAAATGATATATTAAAAAATATGAATTTTATTATATTTCTTTCAAACGTTTAACTGTGATTGATGCATTTGCAATACGTAAATACCTACAATATTTACCTTGAACTTCAACTCTAACAGTCTTAGATAGATTTTCTCCGACACCATTTCCTACTTCACAAGTATAAAATCCTTCATCTTCTTTCTTTGCAGTAACAGAAGTAATTGTGCCGCTATCAATAATCTTCCAATGGCTTTCTGTTACAGGAGATGATTGAGCAATACTGAATCCTAAACAAGTTAATTAAATTTCCATTACTATATGTTACTATTTATCTTTATATATATATATGTCCATTACTATGTTTTTTTTTTTTCTGTCTTTTGTTGAAGCTGTGCCTTTATTTTTAATGTCAGTTTTATTTCACAAACAAGAGTCTGAGTCTTAAATTATAAATTCATTGTGTAACAAAACAGATATTAATTATTTTTGTTAATTGCTAATGGCATATTGCCTTAGAATTAGAATTTTCTATCAGAATTTTCTAATAGAATGATTATATTTATTTACCTTTCGTTTTTCTCCATTTAACACTTGGTGGTGGATAGCCAGCGGCTTCACAATGAAGAACTAATTTGTTTCCTGCTTTAACTGATACATCGTAAGGTTGACGAATCCACGCAGGTGGCACTAAATTTATATATTTTGGTAATTCATATCTAGTAAAAATTTACACTTTTTTAAGTATAAATATTTCAATTTTCTCACCTGAAACAAATAACTTTGTCACAAGACTATCCGATCCGGCCCTGTTCGAAACTAAACAAGTATAATTTCCACTGTCCGAGCCTTTTACTGAAGCTATGATAAGAGAAGTGGAAAAATCATCCTGTCGACGAATTGTCAAATGAGAAGATTCTTTCAATGTCTTTCCATTCTTAGACCATTGAAATGTTAGCGGTGGATCACCTTCAGTAATGCTACACATTGCCGTGTATCTCTGACCTTCTCTTAAATTATTTTCACTGACTTGTGGCACGATTTTTGGTGGGACTACAGCAGATAAAATATTAGCTAAAAGCATATTTATATTTGAATGAACAATTATTATTATTTTATATAAAATTTTTATTTAGTCGATAAAAATGGTTATATACTGAAATAAAAAATACAATTATTTAAGTATTTTGAATATTTTTTTGGAAAATTTGAATCGTTTTGATTGTTATTATTCAAAATAATATTTGAATGTGAAATATGTATTGAATGCAATGTAAAATCCAAATTAATAAATAAAACTTCTATATTAAAAACATTATAATTGGCTTGACTTTTATAATAATAATATGTGTATGTATGTCTCTTTATGTATGTAGTGCTGTAATGATAGTCTACCGAAGTTAATTTCGGATTAAAGAGACGTACATACATAGATCATAGTAACAGCTACCAAAAGTGATATTTAGAATAATAATAATATTCAACAATATTTGAAATAATAATTGTTTGTTGTATCATTTAAAAGCATACAAAATATAAAGATATAAGGTGTGAGAATTTTCTATACGATTTGATTATTTTACATTAATTTTAATAAAATAAAAATTAAACAGAATTACATATTTTTACCCGTGTTTATTAACAGTTGAAAAATACTTTTAAAAACTAATTATAAAGTTATCATCATCATTATTAATTTCTCATTTTTAAATACAAAAAAATTCCAGAAAGAGAAGTTAGTTATTAAACTCAGGTTTATAGATTTCTTCAAAAAAGCATCAAATATTAATTTGTTTAATTTTATTAACGATAATCATAAAAATAACAAAATATTTATATATTTCATACGTCAAACATATATAATATTTGCTTTAAAAATTCTTTACGAAGCATCATTTATATATAAAAATAAATTTAACAATTAAAAATTAATAAAACTTAAAAATACGATTATAATATTTAAACTTAATATTTATTATTTTACACTTATGAAATTTTAGATGTAGAGAAGAAGTATATTATGTTAAAATTTTTATAATTAATACTATAAAATACTGTTTTTAAAGTTTCATGATTTATTTATTTGCTTGCACTTATATTAAGCTTAAATGTAGAAAATATTTTAATTTAATTTACAAATAATATTTAAAGTATGAGAAAAATTAGTGAAAATTGAAAATAATCAACAATAAGGTTTATTTACAACATTTCTTTAGTTTCTATATTAAAAAAATATCTACTAAATTACAAAAAATATCAATAAATAAATTGATTACACAATGTTCATTTATTGAGTTAATTATTACTGATTTTATATTAAATAGAAAACATAGCTTAATTCTAATGTATAATATAAAAACACTAAAATTAACTATTATAAAAACATCAAATATAATTTTTTTTTAAATTTTGGACTAATATTCAATCAATTAGATTATTTATTTACAAATATTCGAACATGTAAAAATTTTTCAAGTGAAAGAATATTAATGATGATGATTTACTACTTTTTGATAAACCATTATAAAATAATAAATTATGCTGTAGTACAGATTATTTTATTATAATATTGCTCACCGTATTATGTTTTATAAACGAATGTAGTTTTATTATAAAATAGTGTAGAATTAAAATAATGTATTAATATTATATTATATACTATATTAATTATTAGTTTATAAAATTTCCTTACATTATTAATTGCAGATTTAAGCTATAATAATTCATAAAAGCTCTCGCTCATATATATANTATATATAATGTTAATTTATATAATTATAATATCTTATTTAAAAATAATATAATTAAAAGATTAATAATTTAAAAATATTGGCTTGTCATTTATATTCAGTTTTCATCTAAAAATTTTATTAATAAATTACTATAGATATAAATTTATTGTTATATATGATGTTTAAAGCATCGAACAGATGCATGTAATAAACATTGCTTGGAAAATACATATTACAATTTTTTTTCGGCAATTTAACTATTTATAATTAAAATATGGTCCATAGTTGTAAGAAATAATTACAATTGTTTAATTTTATGCTTTGTCTTTTGAATGGCGATCAATTCATTTTTCCCCTCGTCTGATCAGTTTTACGAAGCCAAGATGGCGACCGATAACAGAATAAAGAACAAATGCATTACTCACCTTCCATGGCAATAGGAGAAATATGAAAACACATCCATAAACACAAACAACATACAAAGAAACTTTGATTTAAAATTCTTTCCATAGCAATATATGGTAGAAAAACATCAATTTTTCTCAGATCAAAATGTGTAGCAGTAGTCTTTGCATAGCTTTCCTTTACTGCAGTGAAGCCACACTTTCATTAATAGGAAAAATCCTACATGGTCGAACAAAAAAGTAAGATTTACATTAAAAATATCCAATTATTACTGGAACAAAACAGTCTGATTATAGGATTTTTATATCCTTGCTTAAGTTTGATGCATATTCTAAACTTCTCAAAGTTTATTTTGGGTGGATAAATCCATTCGGAAGAACATGAATCATTGTTGATTGGAGCGACATATAGTGGTGAAAAATGACATAAAATTTAACCATAATATATTTAAAGGTAATTTTTAATTAGAATCCTTTACGAATTAATTTTATAAAATTTAACAATTTACATTAAAAATTTATGTATAAAATTGCATTATTAATTATTTGATGATAAGTTTCAAAATTACAAAATTAATAAATTAGAAAATTTAAATAATATAAAGTATGCAGTACGTTAAACCTCCAAACTTTATTGTAAAATATAATCATGTATTTTATGTGAAAATAAATTAGCATAAATATAAAGAATTTTAAAGTTTTACTGCTTTTAAATTAAGTTTTGATTTCTTCAATATCCAATGGAAGGTAACGCCACAACTAGAACTCTGTGAGAATTACACAAGTCTCTCGATTCCTCCACAAGTGCAGCTTGTTTTACAACGAGGACCCAAATCTTCAATTTTATAATAATAAAATAAGTCATTTCTTAAAATTAATTAAATCTAAATCAAACACTATCTTAATAAAATAACAAGAAACATACATCAAATTACACAGATATTAATAATCATTAAAAATGTTTTATTTTTCATAAAAACAACATGTTGTCTAGGTTTAATGAAAGAAAATCTTTAACATTTCACACTAACTTTTCTAATCATACAATCTACTGAAAACACGTAACAGTTTATGTTGCAGTTTAAATTGGACAAGTCTTAATGTTAGAAAAGTCTCTTCTTTGAAAGTTTGTAAATTATCATAAAAACTTGCAGAACGATTACAAAGTTGTTTTGCGGTTCCTGTATTAAATAAATATTTTAATTATGAAGAAATTTTCAATATCGAAAACACAAAAATAGTAACTCACATGGCATTGGCACCTAAGAAATTCTTCATTTCTTCCACCACACTATCGTATCTAGGATCATCATATTCCGCTTCACTTCCATATGTATGAAGAGCGGAGTAAGTGGATTGATTCTGTACAGGAGTGGATGCCGGAATGGGAACAGGAGGAGGAGCAGGAGTAGGAGCTGGAACTGGAGCACGTGGTAAGGAACGAACCATTCCTGTAGTTACTAAATCGGGTCTTTGGGTTGGAGTGGCTGCTGTGTATGTGAAGCCACGAACCTCGACACCTTCTAGTGCATAAAGACCAGTTTGTGAATAATAATGGAAAAATCAATAAAAATACTTAAGAATAAAACAAACCTGGTTCTAAAAATGGCCTGTCTAATTTGTGCATGCAGCAGCAAGATACCAAAGGAAGAATTATAATTATTACTAATGAAACGACGACAGGTAGTGTAAAGGAAAGTTGTTGATATAGTGGTTCGTCATCATTTTCTAGAATGATTATTTTTAAATGATTAAAACGTTTCACATTTTATTTAATTGTTCATTTAAACTCTAAAAATAAAATTCGCATATTGTATCGAAATGAAACATTGATAAACCAAAGTGAAAAAATTATTCAACAACACAATGTAATGATTTCAATGAAAATATAAACACAGCAATTTGATCATGATTGTAATTTCATGAAAAGTTCGTACATTGTTATATTATATAATTTTTATTTTTCGTATTAATAGAAATTAAAAACTTCGTGGTCAATATCTTTACATGTAACGTATTCTCACTATTAATATTTAATATAAAATACTTAGAAATTTTTTAAATAGCCGAATAGATTATACTATAGCATAAGCTATAAGTCGTATCAAACATATACATTATGATTACAGATTGTGATTAAAGAAACATAAGAAAAAGTTGGATTTGGAATAGAACTTAATTCTGTCTCATAATTTTGTGGATAAATAAATGACAATATTGTTTTTCATTTTTCGTGCAAATTAGTAATTTGAATGGGATATCCTTTCATAAAACTTGAAGCCATTGAAAATAGCCCAATAGATAAATACTTCGAGAAATATAGTCTAATAAATTCTGCTAACAATAAATACAAAGTAGAACCATTATCTATCACCAAATAAAAGTAAATTGTCATCTAGGTTTATAGAATGATTTCAGTTAATTTTCTTACTTTTATTTGCAGTAAGAAAGCTGAGTACTTCGGTGGGTCCACTGTCTCCATACTCATTCTTAGCTGTTAAATACATTTGATACTGAACGCCACTAACCAATCCTCCGATAGTATAATTATTATTTGGAGACAATAGCAGTCGAACTATTTGCCACTGCCCATTAGTAGGTTTTACGTGGGCAACATAACCTAATAAAAAAGATTTAAGTCAAAATTATTCATGGATTAAAGCACAAAATGTATTTAAATTAATTAATGTACCAGTAAGAGGTGTATTTCTTTTCGAAGACCACAAAATTCTCATAGTTACTGAATTTGGATCAGTTGTCAGAATAGATACTCGAGGTGTTGGAGGAGATTCTAAAAATAAATAATAAATTTTAATTAATTATACGTTTAAATAAATTCATTACTACTTGACTTTATTAAAGAAGTTTTCGCACACCAATGTAAGATGTTGTTAGGAGTATTGGCTCCGAAGGTGGTCCCAATCCGGCTCTATTATAAGCAACCACAATTACAGTATAAGTTGACGTTTTCTGAAGATTATTCAACATGGTTCTTTGTATTTCATGTTTATGATCCATTTTGACATTTTTATATGAATATGATATTTGCGAACCCTGACTCGTCTTTTTATATCCAATATAATGTCCTAATAACTGTCCATTCCATTGCTGCCTTGGGGGAGGCTAAAATTTTCCAAAATTTATTGTTATTCAAAATCGATGATATATTCCAAAAAAATGTACTACCTTCCAGGTTAAAATAGCTGAAGCAGCTGATTTTTCGCTAACTTGAAGATCGAAAGCAGGCGAGGCTGGCTCTGTAGATATAAATAATATACAATTCTACAATATTTACGTAAAATGTGCACATAAAATTTTAGTAACAATTTTTATTAATTTCATTAAAATTTAAAAGTTAATTACAAAACATTTTCAATGAATAATAATTTATTAAACAATCAAAGCACTCGTAATTACACAACATTACTGTGACCAGTGAAATAGTTTTTAATAAATTGTGAGCGGTGTTAGTAATTCATCTAGTTTTCGCCGTAAACAGCAAACACTAAAATCAACTTTGTCAAACCTTAATCATTGTTATCAACGGTAAGTTATGAAAATTTTAACAGTGAACTCGCTCTTTTTCGACAATAACGAAAAGTCGAATGTTAATAAAAAGGTATAATTTTGTTCATTACCAAGCAAAAATGTCTACAATATCAAGCTATATAAATAAATATAGCATACAGAAATATCATAAACATATTACAGTTAAATCTCGGGTTATGAACGCCCCCGTTTATGAACAAACTTTTGAAGCCGTATTTGCTTCGGTTGCTGTACGATAACTCGATTTCCGAACAAGCTGTACAGCCAGTTACCGATGATCAACTTCCTATACTTCCTATGTTACAGAAAGTCGACAGCCTTACTAATCAACGACAAGACTGTCGATTCAATAGTAGCGCCGAGATTCGCCTGGCGTCATTAGACGTCACAGCACGAACCATCGATGACGTTGTTATTTAAATTATATTTTAATACGTAGGCGGGTAAGATATACTATGAGAATTTAGCGAATGAGTCAACATATTTTATTTTTCTGACTTCTTCCCAGTATTGTAACGTAGAGATTTCACTAAAACGGATAAAAATTTTTTTTTCATAATAAACAAATTCTTATATTTCTTTACTATAAAACAATATTAAGGAGTTTGTATGCCGGTGTTAGGTCTACTTGAAAACTATCTGACCGAAATTGTCAATTAAATCAATTTTTTGGAACAAAATATTTCTTGACGTTTTACGAATACGCCAATCAAAATAACAAAAATTAATTTTGAATTAAAATATTACCTTCTTCGGAAGTGACAGTTTCTACTAACTTAGAAGGAATGCTACTTCCAACTTCATTAACGGCAACAACTTGAAATTGATATTTGGTGTAAGGTTTCAATCGAAGAATTATAGTAGATGTTTGAGATCCATCAATTTTCAGTTCGGTTGGATTACTTTTATCTTCTGAATAAAATATTTTGTTATGAAATATATACTAATAACTCTTAAAAGATAAATTATTTATTAATTTATTACTTTTTTTATACAAACATATGTATTTCTGAATGACGGTATTTCCATTATAAGGTTGGAGCCAAGTGAGACGAACACTTCTACTCCATACAGACTTCACTTTTAAATCTTCAGGTTGACTAGGTGGTTCTGAAAATTCCGTTTAAATCTACTTAGAAGACATTCGAAATAAACAAAAATTTAAAGAAAATTATTAATAGTAGGGTATCTTACCAACAACTCCTAACCTAATTCCCATTTGACTATATCCAAATGTATTATTGGCACTGCATATATATAATCCACTATCGTCTCTGTTCGTAGATTCTATATTTAAGACAGATTTGTAACTACTTTCAAAATTTGTTTGTAGAACTTGTATTCTGAAAAAAAAATTATTTTAAATGCTGAAAAATCTATTAATAATTTTAATAAATCGATAAACATTACGTAAAATTAACTTGAATTCTACGGCAAAAACGTTAGTCAACTTTGTTTATATATTGTATTATTATTATTATTATTATTAGAGGATAGAGTCTACTCGAAGGTATAGGCTAAAGGAATGGAAGAAAGAGGTTATGAGAAAGAGGATAAAAAACAGGAGAAAATATTCCAGTACGGTAGTGGGGATGGTCACGACCAGCATTTATAAAGAATAAGCCTGTTTCCTTCATATTTGTGAAAACAGTAACAAAGAAATGTAGAATTTTAAATTTAGTATAGTATATAGAAATTTATTGGGCTGCAATTTAAAAAAATTGTAGACCTATAAATTTCCACTGCCGTCCGTCCATTTGTCTGTCTTTCCTTACTCTCGAGAACGGCGTTAGATAGATGAAAGACGAGACCAGATTTGAAAATCTTGGAGATAGGAGGTCCCGATATAAGAACTTCTGGAGCAAACGAGAAGTTACGTTATTTTACTTTAAAAATTTCTTCCTGAAAGTTGCTAGTAAATGACTGGCACGACTCTATTGTAACAGGAAAGCATGTACAGGGTGAGGTCACTATTAATATGAGCTGAAGAGAATATATTTTAAATCAAATAAATTGAAAATATAGTTAAAAATTGCATTGTGACGATGTCACAATAAATAATTGCTCGTAAAATATGTATATCTATGTCTAAGTTTAAACGATCATTTCTTTTATTTAAAAAAAATTCATGAACAATTTTCTTTTTAGAATATATAAAATATCTACCTAATAAATTCCCTCTAATAAATGGTTCTTAAAATATCGTCACTAATTTCGTCACATTTAGATCTAAAAAAAACAGTTTTAAATTTCTTTCAAAAAAATATATGATCTGTATTCATATTTTCAATTTCTCAAATATTTGAATTAATTTTTTAAAAGCAAAAATTTGTTTTACGGATTGTGCATTAAACACATATCTTTAAATATGTTCTATTTTATATTAAAATGGAGGAAGAACGTGGAAATAACTTAATTACTCAAATATTAAACTTAGAATAAACTATCTCTAATAGTAAAACTTGTTCAATATTTTCATATATTAAAAAGACAAATAAATAAATGCATCTTGAAATACGAAGCGATAATCATTACAGAAAAACATTTGTAAATTATTCATCTACAAATCACAATAAATGAATTTTTTTGGATATGAAAATCATTTTATTTACCTTTGATTGTCTTCTGGTTTGTTTCCATCTTTAGTCCAATAAATGCTTAAAGGTTTGTCTCCAGTTATGTTACATATTAAAACAGAATCATCTCCATTCCTTACCACCATGTGCATTGATTCTACTTTAACAGTTGGCGGGACTACAAATATAATTTGAAAATCACAATTCCTTCTACGGTTTATTTTAACATAACAATAACATATTTTAGCAGTATATTATTATTATCAATTAATAAATATACTTATTCACCCTGCACTTCAACTCTAACTGTCTTAGATAAGTTCTCTCCGACACCATTTCCAATTTCACAAGTATAAAATCCTTCATCCTCTTTTTTAGCAGCTACATTAGTGAGTGTCCCACTTTCAGTAATTTTCCAATGACTTTCTGCAACTGAAGAAGACTGAGAAACGCTAAATCCTAAAATAGCATTTCAAAATTAAAATAGTTTAGTACATTGCATATAAATGGTTCGTTATATTTGTGTTTTCCGCAACATCGATTCACATTCTCTCTTTTAAAATTAGAGCAAACATATAAAGCGAATGATAATGTCTATTATATGTAATGAAAATTCATTCTGACAGTGTTAACCTATCAGAAAATATTTGTGTAATAATTCTAATCTAACATTATATATTATATATATAGTAGATAATATTATATACTCGTATTGTAATACTGTGTGCGTGTATATAATAGAATATACAACTTCTATATACGTACAGTACATATATATATATATATGTACTGTACGTATACGTATGCATATACGAGTATGTACTGTACGTATACGTATGCATATACGAGTATGTACTGTATGTATAATCACTTCTTTATTAGATACAGAGATATTGGACATAAAACATTGCAAATGACCGCCTGTAAGCGGGCTTTCTTTCTAGTTTGTTTAGCACTGATGTATTATATGATAATGGAAGATAAGAAAAACAACTGGTTAAGCCATTTTTATCTGCCATTAATTTCTGGTAAGAGTTGTTCAAAATTTTCTCTATTTTACATTCACGTACAATTCACATTGGTAGGCATAAGGTCGGTTCATACCTCGTGAGAATGGAAAAAAAAGAGGATTGTGCTAAACTTCACGCATTACTAGTGACATACTTCCGTTAGAGAGAAGAAGACAGAGTTCTACTTTTCTCTCTGTTAATAGCCACAATCTTTTGCGTCCTCCAACATGGAGACTAATAGAATGGATATATAAAATTCATATATTTTATATTATCATTACATAGGCTTAAATTTAATTCCGAATTTTCGATGTTTTATTTATCTTTCTTAATTTCTTTTGTGATAGTTTCCACTCTCTCTTCTTTTCGAATTAACTTAACTGCATACATTCTCAATTTTTAAGAATTTTATGACGGAGGTAGGCTTATGTTTTCAACGCTTTCTTTTAAAGTGCAAGAACAGAAAGCACATGCGCGAGTCTATAAAACCGACCTATACTCACTCTAGTCTACTTTGCCAATAATGCACGGTTACAATCAACACAGCTATTAGATTTTGTTTCAATGTGAGGAATCTCATATACAAGAGATTGAACATGCCTCCCAGAGAAAGAAATCTATGAGACTGAGTATCTGTCAGTTTTTTCTATGTAAATCGTATTATGTTATGCGAACCTCATGTTATTCATCATCTCAACACAACCATTAACTAGAATGCAAACTTCAGCTAGTGTCTCCGTGCAGTTGACAATTTCTGGTGTAATGCACTAGACGTTTTTATAATTTAAGGTGTTTGGTATAGTAATATAATATTAACAATCAGTGGCTCTCGCGGATGAGACAATATTTCGTAAAGTCTATTTAACGGCGCTCCTTTCTAACATTTTCATGTTAAATATTTGCCCAATTAATAAGAATAGGCATGCATTTATTATCTAAAAATTCTTATTTTGTAATCAGAAATCTAATTTTTCATGCTGATTATAATTTATTAGCGGATAACCCGCGGATACCGCGGATTAAGGTAATGAATAGAAAATTTAATTTACGCGGTAAATTCCAATTTTTAATTCTATATATAGTGGTATCTCTCCAAAAAGATGGTAAGTGACGCCTAAAGTCGCAACAATACCTTGTCATTTTTGCAGCACTACGCTGAGGTCTCTGGAGAAAATGAAACCTTCCGCAATATGAATGTTCGTGGATCAATTTGTCAAGATCATGTTCATATGATATGATGCCGCTCATCGCCACTTCGACACGACCAACTGAAACACGACAACATACCTCCCTCATAAGATCTCTCATATGCTTTCAATAACGACAGTGGCTAATATTGGTACGTGATCTCTGAAGCACTATCTGAAATGTTGCAAAGTTCTGATTAAGAAGGGAGTAAATGAGGTACGGAATGTATAGTTCTGATAGAGTTCCATACGACATGAATTTTCTATATTTTATGTGTCCACTGATCTTTTATATGTGATTTCGGAGTTGTTCGTAAACTACACATAAATAGCTCATATTATGCCTCAGTTATGTGACAAAAAGTTTCTTATCGATTCCCATAAACAAAAGGATAAAAAAATTTCAGAACTTTGAAATCCAATGTCTCCAAAATAGATCACTAAATGCGAAAACAAAAATCATATTGCCCATATGCAGATCCATCCCTATCTATCGACATCTGATTCATTCAAATCTACCAAGAAATATAGGAGGGGTTCAGCTAAAAAAAAAAGTCATAGCGTTTGTTTTTTCATACTAGACACCAAAATAATTCTAGAGGGAACATTCTATTCTACAACAAAACCAAATTTCCTATGCTTACTCTATCTGTTTCAAGACAAGGTATAATGTAGGCTATGTATTCAAGTAACCATTTCAATATTTACAACAAAAAGTAATACATACTATATAATATTTTAAAATGTATTAATACGTATAAAATAATTCTAAAAATATTAATATGTTTTATATACTTGTAGAATTTAATTTACACTAAAAATACAGATTTATTTTTAAATTATTGAATCAAATCAAAATTTTAAGTTTCACATACAGTAACTTATTTCATAATAATTTATACGTAAAATTATATAAAAGGATATCCTGCAAGTAAAATAACAAGTCATAAAGTATAATATTTAATTTTGTATACTTAGACAAGGTCTAGTCCTGGTATATTAGGGTCAAAGTCGTGACATACAATGTACTGTTTAACTAATTTTAAAATTTATCTTTTAACTTGATACATAATTTTACATTTTTAAACTGGTTATCATCATCTAATAAACACATTATTTAACTATTATCTAGAAGAAAAACTGATAAAAATGTAATTTTATTATATTCATTCTAGTTTTATTATATGATTTCTAAATTATATAGAAATGAGAATTGCGAATACAAATTGGCCATTATAAAACGTCATTCAATCTTGAAAATATTTCAGAACTTATTTGTAATATCTTATTGTTTATCAAAGGAATTCAGAAGAATAAATTCAAATACAAAAATAAATAATAATAATGATTCACAAGGATTTCTGTATTAAGTAACACCTTTAATATTAACTGAGAATTTTAAATGTTCATTTTTGATCAGTTTTTCCTTATAATTCTTGACATTAGCAGATGATACGTGATCAAGAATAATAAATAGCGTAGAAAAATTAATTTTAATATGAAATTACATTTAGAGCACGTTGTTCTCAGTATATACATAGAATAAATAAAATTATGATCTTTATTAGAACAAATAAAATTAAATAACAAATCACATATAAGGAATACAAATAATATTTTAATTATATTTACCAATTTTCCTATGATATGCTTTAAGTGATATTGAACTGTTTCGCAAAAATATAACGAGTTTATGAACATATATATATTTTAACATATGACATTCAAGAGATTAATTAAAAGATACATACTAAATATATAGTTTGTTTAAATCTTGCAGGAAGATATCACAAAATGCTGTCAATTAATACTGATTAAATTCAATTTTTAATTAAATATCGGAATGACTCTTCTTAGCATTCATTTCATAATAAACAAAGTGGCATTGATAAATGGAGAGAATTATATCTGTATGGAACTGATATCATGAACATGCAGAATGCTACATCAAAAATAAAATGCAGTATATGCAATTTAAGTCATAAAAAGTAATAGGACAGGGGTCCTATTACTTTTTATGACTTAAACCCTTGGCACCGTGCCAAACATGGCACGTTAACGATGTTTTCATGGCACGTAAAAAAATTTTGGATTATACATTTAGCCATTTAAAAAAATTGCACCTTGCACCCTGTAATATTTGCTTGTTTATTTATTGTTTGGGTTTGTTTATTTATTAAGTATTATTATAAAATTTTGTTTCGTATTATTATAAAAATTACATATTTTAATTTAGTGTTTAAATAGTATTTTACCTTTAGTCCTCCTCCATTTAACGACCGGAATAGGATATCCATCAGCTTCACAGTCTAGAACTAACTTGTTTCCTGCCTTTACAGATACATCGTAAGGTTGACGAATCCACGAAGAAGGTACTAAAAATGACATTAATTTTCAGCAAATTATTATAAGTAAATGAAAATTTTAAAGAATGTAAACAGTATTCCGATTTTACCTGATACTAAAAGTTTAGTTGTAAGACTATCCGAACCAGCTCTGTTTGATACCACACACGTATAATTACCGCTATCGGTGCCTTTAACTGCTGCAATGATTAAACTAGTAGAAAAATCTCCTTGATGATGAATTTTTAAATGCGAAGATTCCGTCAACTGTTTGCCATTTTTAGACCACTGGAATCTCAATGGAGGATCTCCTTCACTGATGCCACATATTGCAACGTATCTCTGACCTTCTTTCAAACTATTCTCACTGATTTGTGGCACGATTTTTGGTGGAACTATAAAATATAAATTTTGAAACATTCATAAGAAGTAAATACAGATTAAGTATTTACTTTCACATATTTATTAAGGGATTCTCATTATTTTTACGTACTTATTTGCAAACTTACAAAAGAAAAACGAATATTCATATCTTAGATGTTGCGATGTGGATATGTATAAAATATCTTAAATTAGACATTAGGAAACTAAACACGCAAAAATAATAAAAATTATCTCTATAATGCATCAATAAATTAAAAATGCCGAGCAATGTATGTGAATATTTTTGATATTCAGATTGAACCAATGACGACTGATGCACTAATTGACTGTTCCATATCTATTCTATTAAGTCTTCTATTAAGTCTTAAGTATTCTATTCTATCTTCTGCAATTTATTTATTAGTTTATTAAAAACGAAATTGATATTTATTGGTATTAATATGATGATTAACCAAGCAATTTTTTAGAAAATTTCTTCTTTAATATAAAAATAAAATAGTGTCTTATATATATATTCTATTGAAGATTATGCTAATATTCCACCTCATTATATGAGCATTGTGAAAACTTATCTCTGGTTTGTAGCATTTACACTCTATCAAAATGACATTAATAATTGTTTTTTTTTCTGTAACTGATTGAGCTGCAATTTGAAAAAATTGTAGACCTATAAATTTCCATTGTCGTCCATCTGTCCGCCTGTCTTTCCTTAATCTTCAGAACGGAGTTAGATAGATGAAATCCGAGACCAGATATGGATTATATATTTCAATATTGTAGATCATTATTATATTTAATTCAATATAAATCTATTTCTAAATAAAAATAAGCTATGACATAAGAAATAATACAACTTTGTATAAAAAATAGAAACAATAAATTGTGAATCATGAAAATACATAAACTTATTGCATTATAGTAATTTATTTATAATATAATTTTATTAATATGCTCGAAATAAATTTAGAGTATATTTATAAATTCGTTTTAATTTAAAGTTTAAATAATATAACAATTAATTTATAATTCATAATGTTAAAAAATATATTCAATTCTACTACTAATTCTTCTAATTCTATTCATACTAAGTATGTTGAATTTAAAATTATTCTGTGGCTATTTTCTTTTCATTTTTCATTATTTTTAAATAAAATTTTCTTCTGTTCTTTTCACTATAGCAGGATGCCAAGATGGCTGCCAATAACAGAATAAAGAACAAATGCATTACTCACCTTCCATGACAGCAGCAGAAATAAAAAGAAAAATCCATATAAAAACAGAATATACAAGAAAAATGTGGTTTAAAACTGCTTCCATAACAAAATATTAGTGTAGAAACAATAATTTTTATCAAATTAATGCGTATTGTGTTCTTTGCATAGCTGTCCTTTGTTGCAGTGAAGCCACATCTTGCTGTTTATAATGTCGTTACATAGTTAAAATCAAAGCAAAACTACTATAAACAATATTTACTGCGTTTGAATTACTTATGAAACGTTTCCGCACTTCAATTTAATTTAAAATACAATAATATTAACTTCTTACTGAACTTTAATTTTCGGGTAGACTAATTCATTCAGAATAGCACTGAACATTGATGGTTTCCAGCGCCATACAGTGGTGAAATGTGGTGTAAAATTTATATACAATAATTGAAATTTAGATGTAAATAAAGTTTTCATTGAAAATTAATTTCATACATTTTAATATTCTCTTGAACACAACATAAGAAAAAATTTATTAATTAATATACTTTATAATATCAGAATTACTACTTGATAACATAAAAAATAAATTATTTAAAGATTATACTCAATGTTTCAATTGATAAATATTATAAATTTAAATTGTATATTTGTAATGAATACTTCTAATTTATATGTATTTCTATGAAAGACATGAAGGCATGAAATGTTTCCATTTATTAATAAAATTATTATTATATCTTATGATCTGAATTAATGCATAATCCGAATAGCGTTACAATTAATTTCCTTTGTGAAAATTATATTCGATTTCTTACTAACAGTTCCTATCAACTTTGAAACAGTCCCATGCAGCAATTTATTTTTGCAATTTGCAATTATGCAGCAATTTATTTTTTATATGGTTCTTTTTTTATATTCAAAATATTTCTAGAATTCGTCTATTTTTCCGAGCCTCGGCAATTTTTAAAACTCCGGTTCTTCAGGTTATTCTCAGTTTTGAAAATAGTGAAAATAGCACTTGTTTGTTTAGTTAAGTTATGGCAACGCGAGACTTGGGCGATCTGCCTAGGGGGAATGCCTTCCGGGAGGTCTTATAAGGGTAATTACTGTAGTCCCTATTCAGGCGTTACAGACGTGGAGAAAACCCGGAAAACTCCACGTGGCCAGCCCGTCCTGGCGAGGCGCTAACTATAACCAAACTCCCAGTGTTCAGGGTAACGAAACCACTGGTAGGCCTGAAAATAGTACTTCAAGTCAAGATTATGACAAATTATTCAGAATTTTAAAATATCTTTTTGCCAAACATTCAATAATAACAATAATAATAAAGATTGTCATAATCAAAAGATCAAATTAAAGTTTAGATTTTCATGGCAAGCAGGAGCAGATTTGAAAGGTTTCTCTGGGATAAGTTTTCCAAGTAAAATCTCAAGTAGTAAAAATCTTTGTAAAGAGTATTTTTGCTTTTCTGCACCCCCTCTAAAGATTTCTGGATCCACTATTACTAGTGGCAAATATTTTTATATAATTTTGTCAATTTGTTTCGATGTGCAATATTAGTTTACTATTCTATCTTATTTGAGAAACTCAAGTAAAATTATGAATAAAAAATTCAGCATTGTCTTAATTTGTATTCCTGACATGCTTGCCTTTTATCTCCTAATTTTGTATTCTTAGTATTAGCATCATAAATATCTATAGTTGTTTACACAGCTTCCATAGTAAAAGCTTTTTTAAGCTTTTACTACGAAGAAGAGTATTTGCGAAATAATAGAACGCATATATAAAGATGGTTTCATCTTTGGATTATATGATAATACTATTATATGTTTTGATATCGAATAACTAAATTATGAAAATTACTTAGCGGATTTCTTCAAAATACAATGATAGAACTTTATAGCAAGTTAAATAAGACATTCTGTTCTTTTTATAACTTGACATCTTATTTGAACTTCAGAAGAGAAAACGCGTTTTTCACTAGCAGATACATGGTAAAAAGTTACATTAAAAATTAAAATTTTCAATGTATCTTTTTTCAATATTTGAATTCATGGAAAGCATTAATGACAAATTTTCTTTTGTCATATTTCAAAAAGTAATTTCTGAAATCTTAACAGAAATTTGATTATTTTGATTTACTGATAATTCTGACTATAAATTCGATGAGAAATGAACTAACAATGTCGCATTTTTATATTATATGCAATGGCTATATGATTTTCCATTAGGCCTCTTGTGCCCCTAGGCTCGGGTCTAGGGGAGCAAAAGTTTGGAGACGTAAAATTCAAAATAATAATAAAACCAAAAAATATTTTAAAAATTGTTTTAAAGTAAAAACAATTCAGTGCAAATTAAAAGTTTAAGTAGGAACGAAATAACACATATTAGTCAAGTGATATTAATGTAAGAATATATTTAACATGGACAGAGTTTAGTACTAATGACGAGTCTTAATGATGAATCTTAAAACGTCGAGAAATTCAAAACAATTCGAGGGGGGTTTCTGTACGTATGTTAATGCGTGTGAAGGCACGATTTTGTTCACCATGTTTAAAGCATAATAATTCCTGTGCTTTTTGTCGAAAATTTCTGAAATTTTGCAGGCAGGTTTGTTTATTTGAGGGATTGATGATATTAAATTTTTGCTGTTAAAGGTCGATGGGATGAGGATAGGGATGGGTTTTATAAAACTCATCCCTATCCTCAAAATTAAGTTTTATGTCATTTTATAATAATTAAAAATATATAAAGTTTTTTATTAAAACATCATATCAGACGGCGCCACCAAATGTTGCCAGGGAAGGTTGGGCAATGCGTTGCCTGATTTTTATTATGATTATTATATAAACAGAGTGAAAACAATTGAAATTTCTACTATATTACTACTAGTTTGTAGTTTAGTTTACTACAAAATTCAGAATTGAAATAAAATTCCAGACAATTTTTGTTTACTTTTTATAAGTGAATCGCAATTTGAAATTTGATGTTCTTAACTTCAAAAAAATTCAAGATTGAATTTAGTTAACTAAAAATTACTTAATATACGAACGAATAAATGTAAATACAGACACAAAAGGATGAATTATTTATATTGTTACTGCAGAACATAGTCCTTATAGAATAAAATTTCTTTCAAAGTATTAAAATTCATTTCATAGTCATATTTAGGGGAGAAAACAGGGTCAAATAGGCCTAATTCTCTTTAACCATAAAGTTAAAAAAAAATAAAATACAATAGAAAAAATTATTATTTTTTAAAATCTATTTTTATGTATATGTCTCTTTATATTTATTCATAAATAAACCAGCAACGAGTTGCTCAACTTTCCCTGGCAACTTTACAATTTTGGTAGCGCCATCTGTTATCGTAGTTAGAAATAAAAAGTTTTTTAATAAAATATTATAAAATGGCATAAAGCTTAATTTTGAGGGTAGGGATGAGTTTAATAAAAAAAAAATTAAATGCTAATAACCGGTAAAGTCGTCATTAAGTCCGACACCCTACTAGAGATACGCACGATCCCCATTATCTCCCAACTCCCTCGACCTTTAATTAATCACCAAAATTTAATAGCATCGATCCCCTAATAAACAAACTTCCCTGCAAAATTTCAGAAATTTTGGACAAAAAGCACAGCAGTTATTAAACTTCAAACAGGGCGAATAAAATCGTGCCCCCACACATATTAATCTCCATACATACAGGAAAAAACCTGAATTTTTTTTTTTTACATTTCTCCGCATTTCAAGTTGTCCTAAATCCAAAAATGTAAAAATCTCGGGGTTCATTTTTTAACCGATCGCCATACGTTTCCTCTGTTATTACATGATACTCTGTTATATATTACAGCCGAGAAAGTAAAGAGAAAAGTTATACAAATCTTACCATAATACCTGGTTATGCTACTGTTTCATTAACTTTATACACTATTTTAACATTCCTGAAAATAATCTTTTAAAATATTTTAATATGTAGACATAAAATATAAGCATTTTGTCCGATAGGCTATACATTCAGCACAGTATAATAAAATTATACTAAAACAATAATGCTAATTTCACATTTCAGAGAACAATGGACAATATCGCAGCAAAAAGATATGAAATTTTAAAACAATTTTTAAACTGGCATCGGTAATTTATAATTCGTGACATTGCTGTTAGGTCAGAAACACGTTTGCTGAATTCCGTATCAATGTTTTTCAATTTTCCTCGATAATTTATCGAATGAACTGAATTTAAAACTTGTGAATTATTTTGGGAAAGATTAGAGAAAAATGTCTGATAATATTTAATGTCTGAGAAAAATGTCTGATAATAAACGAGATTTAATGGAAACGATAGTTTGGGTGTGGTATTGTACAAAGAGATGGAGACTGACGTCGTTCAATCAGCTATTAAATCCATGTCAAGACAATATCCGACTGTTATTAAGGAAGAAGTCGTCCAAATACTGCACTAATGATTGAAAATCGTACCAATGACATTATTAATCCTTCGTAATCTTGTATTGTTTTTTATACTTCGCATAGATACAAGTGAAATGATTTCTGTATGATTAACTAGAAAAAACTTATGAATAAATTTTAATTTCTTTGTACCAATTATTACAATTTTTCTCTTCCTTATCTAAGCATTATAAATACGTAATTACTTACAATTATCTTTAATTGTAAGTAATTACCTATTTATAAGTATTTGTGAGATTTGCTAAAGAGACAATTAGGGAAACGTGGAAACGTAACATCCATACTTTCATGCAGGAATGTATAACCTATTTGAACTGGAAGACCAAGAAAGTAATAAAATAATTACGAAAAGAATGTAGAAAAATATTTCTATAAAAGTTCAAACCTTTGGAATGACCGTCAGACCTACATATGCTTTCAATATAAAAACATAAAGAAAATTTAACAACTAATAGGCATTTTAATGACATCATCGATTCCTCGATAGATAAGATTCTTTTATTAAATTTTAAAAATAATAAGACATTTTTCTGTAAAAGTTTTTCATGCAACCGAGTTCATGAAAATTTAATCTATTCATAATTATTTAAATTATATTAACCTTGCCGAACTACCGACAGAAATTATAATTTGAACTCTACTCCTATCCGGCCATTTTTTCCCCTTTCTCTTATGACAGTTCATCCAACTACAAGACAAGATGAATTTTTATTAAATATAAAATTAAATTCTCTTCATATGTTTGTATTAGAATCTTTTTGTGCTTTATAAGTGGGAAAGAATTCATTCTTTACTGACTTATTCTAAAAAATACATTAAAGATAATTGTAAGTAATTTTACATTTAACTGTCATTTTTACAATTTTCTTATATTACTTTCCCGGCTGTTATAACAGACGAAAATATGGCGAT